AGTTTTCACTTCATGTGGAGCACATGAGCAAAATGAATCCAAGAAGGAAATATGCCAGAAAAATTGTCTTTGGGCCTGGCCCTGTCTGATCTTTGTGTGTTTTTTAGTGCAGCTACAAACACTCATTTGTTGCCCTGCTGCTGGGGGCTCAGGGCAGCAGTGTGCAATGCAGCAGTGGTCAGGTGTGCTTAATTCACATTGGGTGCTGCTGTTTGAAAGTCCTCTGCAAACTCCAGCTCCTGGCCTCAAGGCTTAGCTGCAGCAGAGGCCATTGCTCTTCTAGGCTCTGCCATGTGTTACTGTTTATTTGCTCTGTGTGCCAGCAGAGCCCCCAAGTACACAACCATTATGTTTGAATAGCAGCTGCAAATTTTAGTTTGATTTGGCAGGATGGAACCCTGGGGCTCTCCTGGCTGTGTTTGAAAGAGTTGTTGGGTCTGAAAGGTCTCCAATGCATGAGGTTGTGGTCCAGAAGAGGTGAAGGAGAAAACCACTTGGAAACAGCAAAAAGAAAAGGAGGGGAAAAGCTTGGTGATGGTAAAGAAAGAAATGGAGCCAGATGTGGTGCAGACCCAGCATGGCACAGCACAGAGCTCATCTTGTGCTGGGATATGGGACTCTTCCCAGTTCCTGGAGGCACAGCCCATGTCCAGCTCACAGCTGAACCCACATTTCTGTGTCTCTGAAGGTGGGATGTACACAGGGCTCAGCATTCCCAGCCCAGTGGTGGCACTCCATCTCTTGAGGCAACAGACACAGTGCAGGCTCTGGCTACTGATGCAAAGCAACGATGTTCTTGTCTCACCCTCCAGCATGCTCTGACATACTTCCCCTGGATGCTCAGGGCTGCCATGCCCCCACTTTTGAAACACCCAGTGGGAGGCTGGGAACATTAGGCTGCTCTCCCAAGGAGATTTTCCTTCACAAAACACAAGGAAAGCAGGGGGTTTCACATGTGGCAGGCAAGGCTCAATCCCTTTTCTCAGCAGCCAGTGAGAAGAAGATGGAGGGGGGGGGACAGGAGATGGGTCCCCTGCACTGCTGGGATGGCCAGTGCTTTTGTTCCATGTTCAGAGGTGGAGGCAGAATTAGGATGTTTGAGGAGTTAAAGCTGTACTGATGGCATGGGACTACCATGCAATCGTATCAGGCTGGATTTCTCTTAAAGAGTGATGAATTATTTGCACAGGCTGCCCAGGGAAAG